ATGCTTTCGTTGACTGCGTTTGCGTTCACGCCGTTGCCGTTGGAGCGCTTGGAGTCAGGGTTGATGTGGAGAAACTGCTCCAGGGTGAGTGTGTGCACGGGGGCGTCAATGCCCGTCTCGCTGACAAGGAAATCGTGGTAGATAACCGGGACATGATCCTTTGTGAGCTGCACGTCAAACTCAACATACTGAGCGCCTAGGTTGGCTGCTGCGATGAAAGAAGGTACCGTGTTCTCCCCGAGCTGGAGAGACTTGTTGCTCGTCAGGTTCTTACCCATGCCGCGGTGACCGATAACCATCGTTGTAGCAAGCTTCTTCCAGTAGGTCTGCTGGGAGTTGATCTCCATGTTGGGGTGGGAGAAGGGGGTGACTACGAGGAAGTTGAAGTTGACAGTGCCGATGACGTCCAAGTTGCTGGCCAGGATGGGCACGCAGACGTCGCCCTGGAGGTTCATGCGCTTGGCGCCGATGGTGGGCTTGATGGAGGAGAGGAGGGCAACACCACGTCCGATCTTGTTCTTCTCATTTCCAGAGTAAGTGGGGACAATGTCGAACATGATCTTGACCTTGGAGGGGTCCGCGGCCTGGAAGACGATCGGCTCAGTCGAGACGTTCTCGTGGACGGGAAGGTCGACGATGGTCGGCTCGCCCTGGGCGCCGCTAGCCGAGACAACGATGGATAGAGCCGTGTCCAGCTCTGTCAAGTGAGCCTCAGTAAGGGGAACACGGTCAAGCTTGACAGCCTCAATGTTCTTCCGCATGTCCATCGATCCGAGGCTGACTAGAACCATGCTCTTGTCGGTGAGGTAACGATGACCAAAGGTCTTGACTGGCTCGAGAGGGCGAGGGGCGCCGTTTGACTTGCGACCGTCAAGAGAAGTGTTATTCTCAGGTGACGACGAGCGTGAGTGGTCGCCATTGACCTTGAGCTCCTTGGTGGTTTGGACGAGGTCGGCGGCAGGGTGAGCCGCAAGCAGTCGAGCAATGTCCAGGTGACCACGCAGCGCGGCGTGCTCCTTGGCAGTCCAGCCAGACGAATCGGCCTTGGCGACCTCAGCTCCGGCGTCAACGAGCAGCTGCGCCATAGACAGGTGGCCGTCGACTGCCGCAACGTGAAGGGGCGTCCAGGCGTATGAGTTCTCGCCAATCTCCAAATCAGCCTTCTGCTCATCAGTGCCCTTCAGGAGCACCTTGGCAATCTCATCGTGGCCGAAGCGAGCCGCAAGATGGAGGGCGGTTTCACCCGTCTTATCCTGCCAGTTGATATCCACACCGGCCTCAACGAGCATCTCCACGATGACTTTGTAGTTCGACTTCGTAGCCATGGCCAGGACGGCGCCAGATTTGGACACCGTCTTTCTCATCTCGGCCTTCTTGACGCTGACGCCCTGCCAGTTCTCACCCTGGAGCAGCGCCTTTGTAGTCAGAGGGTGGCCGCCCACGACGCTCAGGTGCAGAGGCGCATAGCCATCGTTATCCTGCCACTCGGGGGCGTCAATGCCGTTCTCAACGTTGAACTGGCCCCACTCCTGCATCTTGGCCATGATGATCTGGCAAACAACGACGAAGCCGAAGCGGGCAGCGTAGTGAAGCGGCATGCGGCCGAATGAGTCTCTGCTGCTGAGTGCCTGTCGCTGCTCGGGCTTGAGAGAGTCGAGGAGGTACATAAGGATCTGGACGGCCTCGTCGTCCTTTCCAAGAAGCTTGGTCTCATTTTGGTTGAGCGCGCGGGGTGTGACCGTTTGGGAGGAGGTGGCTGGCTGAAGGTCATGAGAGGTGAACTGAGTGCCGATCGGGAAGGGGTAGGATTTCGGCTCATTATCGGGGTCGTTGGATCTGGTGCGGCCAATGTGAATGACGAGACGGTGAATGCAGTTCCGCTCGTTGATGTCATCGACCTCATGAAGCGAAGGAAGCTGGTCGAGAATGTATGCAATACTGGCCTTGGATCTCGCAGCGATGGAACGCTGCAGCAGGTTAAGGAGCAGGTTTTGAGAGGCGTGCTCGCCAAGAACATTGCCTTCCTCCAAACCAGCCTTCAGAGATTCAACATTGTCGTTGCGAATCGCCTGGTCCAAGGTGTCGAGCAGGGTTTGCGACAGCGTCAACATCGCCTTGGACGACACGCGGCCCAGCGACCGTACCGACCTGTCGGATCTGGAATCGTCAATGTTGCGGGCATCGCCCAGCGCGGATAGCCACTTGTTGATCTCGGCCATCAGACGACTTGTCGTCACATTCTGGGCGAAGGGCAGGGGGTCGACCTTTGTGGAGATGTAGCGGTGCTGGGACGCGGCCGCGGGAAGCTTCTTGTCGAGCTTCTTGGTGATCTTGACGAAACCACGGCGGTTGATTTCGGCGAACCAGCTCAGGTTGCGGACCTGCACGCGCATCTCGAACAGGGCGGCCATGAGCTCCTCGATTTCGTCATCGTCGAGGTTAGAGACGACGTCGGGGACGCGGCCATAGCGGTCGCGCAGTAGGCTGAGACGGCGGACGCTCTCATGGAGTTTGCGGTTGTAGAAGGCGTCCACGTCCTCGAGGTTGCGGTCCACGGCGAAGAAGAATTCTGCAAAGAAAAACAAACATGGTTAGGGGTCTTGAACGGCGCATCCATCATCACAGTCCAGTCCGGCTCGAACCTGCTAAGTCCACCTTCTCTCCATTCCTGGCCGACTGGGCGGCTGCCTTGATCAGCTTCTTGAGGCCCTTGTAGTTGATGTAAAAGGCCGCCCACTCGGGGACTTGGTTGCGGGGTAGGCTGCCATCCGTGTTAGCAAAAGTGTCTCTGTGAAATTGGGGGGATAATAATCCAAAAGGAATTTGTTTTCAGTCTTATCGCACTTTTTGCTGAACTTCATGGTGTATGATATGAGGGTCTATTTCCGGTTATCAGGGGGCCCGGTGACGATTGTGGCGTTCCAGCGGCAGGTAGGTATGAGCGGTCGTGCGAAGCGGTATAGATATCAGAATGACTGTCGTAGAAAAATAAACAAAAGGCTGATGAGTGAACAACGCGGTCGAAGGAAATTGAACAGCTGCTGTAAATGCAGATGGGCTAGAGACCGTAATTGCTCATTTTCTTTCCTCGTGGTGGTTTCTTGGGGGTATCGGAGTTAGTTTGAAGAGGTTGTGGCTGTTGTAGTAGCGAAGCGCAAAGGCAACCAAGCTTCGAGTTCCGCGCGTAGCTCCGAGCTGCGATTGTTTTTTGGCAGGTGCCAATTGTGTCTCCGTCAAGGTAGCTTTCTTTGCCTTTCTTTTCTGCGGTCGCAGGGTTTTCCAGGTGCAAGTCACGAGAATCCTGTCGGTTTTTGCAGGACGAAGGAGCTCCACATCCAGCTCGCCATTGATTGACTGAAGGATTTGATGACGATGTGTTTTTTGATCTCTCAGGCAGAAGACGCAGCAGAGAATCGAGAGAAGCAACCGAGAAGCAGCAATCTGGGTCCAGGGAGCATCGGTCGGTGGGTTGGAGGGGGATTATGAATGAAAGCCAGACAGCTCAGTGACCAGACCAGACCGACCCGGACGTGAAAAGTGACGGAAGCATGCCAAAAAAGAGAAAAGAAGAGGTGTGAGCTCATCTCACATCCACCAGGCCGGCCAAGTAGCTGGGTCCAGGCCCCGAGGTATTCCTGCGCCGATCGTTGTGTATCTCGTCGCCTTGGTTTCGCTGCGCAGTGACTACCGAGTCCTCGGGACAGCACCTGATTAGATGCGGTGGGGTACCTGCTACGGCCACGGCACCTGCCTGGCTCTGGATGCGCCGCCATCTCTTCCCCCCTAAAAAAGGCAGGGCACCAGCAGCCAGCTTCATTCACCTCACACACACAGTATAATCGTCGGACACAGTAGCGACCGCGCCGCCAGTCCAGCGCCAGTCCCTTCTGAACGTGACTGCGCACACTGGCTGGCACACTGGGCCCAGCAAGAGGGAAAAAGGCAAAGGACAGCTCGGGGTGTGGCGTTATCGCGCCGGTGAGTCGAGCCACTGGGAAGCCGCCGTTGGCCGCCCGTGGAGCGCGGCCGACTCGTGATTCGCGGGGTCACGGGACTGCCGCTCCACCGCGGCTTCAGCTGGCGGGCCTGTCCATGTCCACCCCGCCGTTGGTGTAGCACAAATCGCCCGCCCATCCCATCCCATCCTTGGCACGCCGCACCGTGGCTCTCCCAAGCGTCTCTGTTGGTCTTCCAGTCTTTCCCCTAAGGTACCGTACTACTGGACGGGTAGAGCTAACTGACAAAGCTCACTCACTCACTCAGTGTCGGTACATACGGTGACAGACAGCGCCCTATCTCGTCCTCACCGATGCATCGTGGGAACTGCACCGCACCGCAGTAGTCCCCTCCCCTTTCACGCCCCATCTCAAAACAAATATGTGGTCAAATCCCCCCCTTTCCGGCATCTGACTGTCGTAAGGGTGGGAAAGAAAATTCCTGACCGCCTCGACGCTTGACGCTTGACGCTTGTCAGGTCGTTCGTCCTCATGACCTCTCCGGGGGCGGGAAGGACCCTGAAAACCGACATCGGTCGCCCTCCGTGGCCCGTCCCAGGCTGAAAGGTCCATCGTGAGGTACCGCTGCTAAAAATGCCCATGGCCAAACACCCCAGTCCCCTCCCACTCAACGGCGAAATGATTCTTTTCCGCGCTGCTGCGGACGGACTCCTGTGACTGACCAGCAGCAGCCGCGGCGGCGGCGGGCGGCGGGCCACAAGGCGAAGGACCACGCAGAACGGGGAGGAGAGGGCTCCACACCGGATCTGGTTCCCTTCGATGCATGTTCCAAGTTTTAGAATTTTAGGGGTCCTGTTGCTGCCACCTGGGCAGAGACGGGCAGCCCAGGAAAACCTCGGCATCCCGGCCTTGTTGCAGTGGCGGGGGACCCGACAAAGAAGAGAAACGAGAAGGGAGGGCATCGTGGTTGTTCGGAAAACACGGAGGGACCACTGCCTTGCTAATGCCCATAGTGCTGACTGACCCTGAATGACCAACTTCACGATGGGTTCGATGGAAGGATGGCTGGTCGACGCGGTGGGCCTCGCAAAACCCGGATGGAACACGAGTGACGATATCAGCCAACCTTTCGGATGCACGATGCACCTGCTGGAGTCTTTTTTCTTCTTCAACACCCCGCCCCAACTACGCAGTACCTAAGCTGTGGAGAGGTAGAAGAGGAGTAACGGAACGACGCCGCCAATCCTTCTCGCGCGTGAATCAGTCATACTGGGGGCCGATGGCAATAACGGCAACATCGTTAGACATGTGGCTAATTACAGTGCACTACTGCGTAGAGGGGGAATGGGTGCCGTGGCCAAACATGGGACCAAGGACCCGGTCTACTACGCAGTGCTAGTCTTTTTAGACTCTCGAGTTCCTGGGAAATACCAGACTTGCGGCTCACGACCGTGACATTCTTGTCGCCTCAGTGCCACAGGTAAAGGGGGCACAGAGTTCGGTGGCAGGTTCAACCTTTTCACGAATAGACTATCCGTACCGCCGCTCAATCACGCAAAACCGTCAACCACCACCACCACCACCAACTGGCTGGCTTCAACGGTTCCATCGGGCCAATTCCCCGTCTGGGACCACGGCACGCCCCCCCCTCTCTTCAGCTGTCTGTCGTCTTGTGCAAAACTCTGGGCTGCAAATTGACTTTCCACCTCGTCTTCCAATTTGTCTTTTCCATTTAATATTTCTCTCTTACCTTTACTTATACTCTTGCTGCTGTCAATCCAGGTCAACGTCAGCGCTGGAGCAAAAACTAAGTAAGCAACCGAATGCCTGCCAGAATGATATCACACGTAACCCCATCCCGCACCCTCCAAACGACTGGCAACCACCACAACCACACGCAACCAACATAGTTCATCCCTGCGGCGCGGAACGCTCTGAACTGCAACTCTGCGTGTGGCATTTCCCAGCGCACTGTCGCTGCATGTGTACCTTGGCAGAACCCCAGGCACAGGCACGGAGAAAGAAGCGCACCGCAGTTAGGTGCGCAGTCAGTCACGCGGTAGGTAGGTCGTTTGAGCCAAGGAAATCGCCCCAAACCATATGCTGTCATGTACGACAGTGCATCGCAGCACACCTGCCATTGGCTGTCGCCTCTTCCGCTGATGATGATCTACCCGCCGGCTCCCCGTTCCGGTGCCTGAACCGCAAACGCACCGCGCCGAAGAGCATGATGATATCGAGTAGTTCCCAAAGTTGGATTGTCTCGCGAAAGAATCAATTGGAGAGGTAATCTGAGGCGTTGCAGTGTCATTGACGCTTTATGCACGCACTCATTGTTCTTCCTCCATTTCATCCCGTCTTGCTCTCGCATATCCTTCGCTGTCTTGGGTTGATCTTAAAGCTCTTCTGGAATCTGCACTTCCGGTCAAGACAGCAGAGACAGCAGAGACAGGAACGACACCAGATCATGGCGGAGAAAAGTGCCGGTATTGTATCACGAAAAGCGAGGAGTTTGACGCGTCGCTTTGTACATCATCGTGTTCTAATTGAATGTGTCAAGAAAATTGGTCTTTATGACCGGCGTCCCGTGCCTGATATCAGGTTCGCCATGCGCATGCTGTGCATGCGCCAATAAACATGTTCGCCATCTTGATTCATCCAAGATGCCATGCTAGAAATACACGCGCTCCTATCCTCCTATGCTTGTAGGCTGCTCGCGGCGGCCAGCTGTCCTTCCCGTTCCCACCACATGCCTTGCTGAGAGACGTGCTCTCCAAATGTCGTGACTTCCTTTGACGCCTCCTCTTGCGTTGACGTTGCGGGCAGCGCAATCTGCGCTGCCTTCTTGGTAGCCCTCTTCCGCTTTGCATCATCTTTGCCATTCGCTTGAGCTTGCTCCTTCATGCGGGCGGCGTAGACGGCTTCAGACCGATTCCTGCTGAAGATCTTCGACTTCATAGTGTTCAGATCTTGATGCCAACTCCTAATCTTCACATGCGACTTCTTGGTCTGCTGCATGATGCTGACGATGCGTAGACCTCGCCTTTGCGTCTCGTCTCCTAACCGGGACTCGTCCACTCGCAGCCACCGAAGCCACGGGGTCACAGAATACACCGTCCGATCAAGCAGACAGATGTCAATCAAGTTTTGAATGCCCCTTGCGAGATCTTTCTGGTGCCTGTATTCCCCGAAAGCTGGCGCGATGAGTTTGGGCTTGATCTCAATGGCGTGCAGGAGCTGCTGTGCAGCGGTTGTGTCCAAGGTGTATGTCACCTGCTCGAGCAAGTGCGTGGTCGTTTCGGCGCTAAAGGTGATGCCGTGCTTGAGGCCGACGGCGAAGGCTGCCGCAGCTTGTCTCACGTAGTCGAACCTCAGCAAGCCATGTACTATAGCCGTGAACATGTCGTGGTCGAGCCATGCTCGCTCGGTCACGTAATCGTTGTTGATGGCAACATTCTTCAGCGCTGCCCATGTGAGCCACCGATCATCTTCCTCAACTTCTTCGATTGCCTTCCTCCGTATGCAGACGCCGCGTGGATCCTTGCCCGTCATGCGGTGAATAGCGCCGAAGAAACCCCTCGCATCACCAGTCTCCTTGAAGTGATTCAGCAGACAGACCAGCGTCTTCCTTGTTGGTTCGACTCTGGAGTTGTAAAAGGACCGTACTACTCTCTCGGCCAAAGGATGCAGCCCGTTGCGGTTGAACCCTGCGATGAGGGTGTTGTATGTAAAAGTAGTGGGCGGTTGCGGTGACGCCAGAAGGTTATAGCATATCTTGCCGATCTTTGTACGTTGGTCATAGTCTGTGCTGGCGAAGACTGAGCCTATGATGGAGTTGAGCTGGGCACTGTTTTTCTTGACGTCAATCATGTCGGTTTGGCGCTCGTAGTACGGCAAGTTTCCCTGCCTGAGTTGGCCAACCTCTTCCTGAAGGTCATTCCAGTCGCTGGGCCCCAAAATGTTTCTAGATTCCTCAACAATCCTATCAACCAAACTCCCCATATTCTTTTCTGTAATCTGAAGTTGAACGAAGTTTTTGGGCGCACGGTGGCTCATCAGCGGATTTTGTAGTCGCTCTTCGTCTAGCAGGAAGTCGTCCGTTTCTGTGTCGCTGGTCTCGATCAGCTTGGCGAAGGGATCTGTGTAGCCGAAATCGCCTGGCGCGACAAACGCATCTGTTGGTTTTTCGAAGCCCAATTCCTTCAGCAGGCGTTTGATCTCGACGTTCCTGCGAAGCGTTCTGTCGTCCGTATGACTGAGCGAGTCCAAAAACTCCGCAATCTCGCCCTTCTGCGGCTTATGGTCGAATAACGCGCCCTTATATCGGTTTTCGAAGCTTGCCGGAGGGGCCTCGCCCGGCTTCACATCTCGCGGCACGCTCCTCCTCATATTGTCGAGCTCCAGCTTCGCCTGCGCGATTTCCTCTTCGAGCCTCAGCCGTCGCTCGTCCTTGGCCTTCGCGTCAAGCACAGCGGCGGACGCCATGATGCCCGTGTAGCAGGCCGTGAAAATTTCGCCAAAGGTCGGTTTCCGGGGCGTCACCCGCGTCGCGGACTGTCGTACCATGCCCCCCGCGGCTTTGAAGCAGGCCTTGCAACCGCAATGAGGCGCCTGGCCCGCTCTGGACCAGAGTGCCTGCATTCTGACGGCATTCCGGCTGCAAAGGCAGCCCCAATTGAGTGCGATTGATCGTTTCGAAGGGGGATGTGGCCGGGCGTCGGGGGGCCGTCGGCGTCGAGATTATGGTCTGATGCGTAAATCTTGTCGTTCCAAGGACCGAGCTGCCGAGTCCGACCCAATCGAAGATCGGGGATATCAAAATTGCTCTTATGCGATAAAGTGGGGTAAATATTTGGCTAAACGTGCCTTTCGCTTACAGAAGTGACGCAACTGCCCCTCCACCCCCACCATCGAATGCTTCACTGTGAGCTCAGAGGGGCACTCTGCAGCCCCAAGAAACTCTTGGAACATTAGACCCTGTGACACACGAGGGTAAAAGAAGCGTATTCAAAAATGTTCGCCCTTTATCTTACTGCAGAGCTGGAGGGGTAGGTTTTCCATCGCTGGCTTCTTCATTTGACTCTCGCTGACCTCAATAGGGTCACGAACCTTCGCCCCGATGACAGCGAGGGTAACCCCTTCTGGTACACTTTCAAAGTCCAGTGTACTTCGTGCCGCGAAGTCCACGACAAGACCGTCGGTGTCAACCGATTTGTGCGTGAACCCCCCACCAAAACTCTACGTAATTACTTACCGGTTACCAGGAGAACAACGAGATGAGCGGCAGCAGGGGCGAGGCCAACTTTGTGTGGAAGTGCAAGAACTGCAAGCGCGAGTCTTCGGCCTCTATCAAGGCCGCCCCCGCCGCCTATGAGCAGGGAGAGCCCGCAAAGCAGCAAAAGGTCATTGAGTTCGACTGCCGTGGCCTTGAGTTTGTCGACTTCATTCCCGAGGGAGAGTGGCTCGCAGAGGGCGCGGATTCGGGCACCAAGTTCACGGCCATCGAGCTCACCGACGGAGAGTGGTTCGATTACGACGAAAAGGCTGGCGAGGAGGTCAGCATCAAGGAGCTGAAGTGGGAGATCAAGCGTGCTTAAATGAATTCGAAAAGTCTTCGTGGAAGTGATACCGGGTGGCGTACGGGTGGGAGGGGAGTTGTTGTGAGCGCAAATACCATCATGGCGCTACGTCTGGCCGACGGATCTCGGCGATTTCATTTGAAAACATTAATAAAATGAAAGTCATTCACATCTATAACGTTGTCGAGACCAACATGTATCGGGTATTTAACCTCTAACCTAACGTAATTCTACAAGGTGGTGTTACCGACCTTCTTATTCCATGCATTTCATCATCAGACATCACGAAGCCAACCCGCCGTTCTGCCATGTACCTTCTTCTATGCAATTCAAGCGAGCTGTCTTGAAGGCTCGCGCCCCACACTTCTTCTTCGCGCTGGAGCATGAGGAATGCGTATTGATTCCTGTTCATGCCTGGGTTGGACGCAAACTTGCTTCCCGGGGAAATCAGTCAACCCTCCATTGCCTTCACGTTTCATCAAGCATTGTCATGGACGATGTCCAGGTCTCCTGTTTTCTGTCCGCAAGGTCGATATCCAGGCCTTGAAACTCGCAAACGTGATAAGATCGTCCCTCATCATTTCTAGTTGTCTTGCCGCATGACATTGTCCAAGACCTCAATGAAGATGTCCGTGAACTCTGGCAACGCAGAACGAGGCAGCTTTCAGATAACTCTTCCACAGACCTGCGGTTATTTAGGAGACGTCCAGATATAGTGCGAAAACTGGCGATGCCTCTCATGGCCCGTCCCTGAATCTAGCACAATCGCGAAGACATTTCCCGTCGTCAAAGCAGTGGCAACTTCCATTACAGGAAATAATCACCCGGCCCACGGCGGTTGGCGGGAACGTGACGTTGGTCATCCGGAACCGCAGAGAAGATGCTGAATTTGGGGTTCATATCCTTGTCCACAGTCATGATGGATGCTACGTTACCGCAGCGGTAGCAGTAGTTCGGAGCAGACCAAACTGTGACGACAGAGTTTTGTGGGAAGTGGTACTGCGCCGTGTTAGCTGACTGATATGTGACAAATGGCAGAGACATACCTTGTATCCCTCGTTGACAAGTTGATGGGCTCTAGCAATGAGCTTCAGGCCGTTGACATGGTTGAACTCCGTGGCCACCTTGTCGCCGAAAAGCCAGCCGGCACCGCGGGGGCTGATGGCCCAGGTCTCTACATCCTCGGGGTCTGACCAGACCAGATCGCAAAATGCGCCCTCATGGGGGATCTCCTGAGCACGGGCAACGACGCGGATTTGATCGATGGTGCGGATCTCAGGGCTGAGACCACCGTGGACGCAGAGTAGTTCGCCGTCAACAATGGCAGCCAGGACAAGGAAATCGAAAACGTGACAGCAGGCCTTCCAAACCGATGCATTGCCGTACTTCTGCTGGCACTCTTCGTAGAAACCATAGACCTGGGTGATCTGGCGAGACTCGTGATTGCCACGTACGAGAACAATCCTGTCGGGGTATCTACACTTCGAGTTAGCATATGCCAGAGCCCCATTCTTTTATGCGACGTACTTGGCCTTCAAGCACATGAGAAGGGTGAAGGTCTCAAGACTGAAGTAGCCGCGATCAACGAAGTCGCCGAGGAACACGAATCTAGTGTCGGCTGATTGAGAGCCCGTGCTGACCTCAACGGCCGAATCGGGCCTTGAGGTTGTGCTAGTATCGGCAGCGGCCGCTTCATCATCCTCCTCATCATCGGGGGCAGGGCTGCCCGCATTCTTGACCTTCTTCTTCAGTTTCGGGTTGGTGATCTCCGTCGGCGGCTCAATATCCTCGGGGCTGATGACTGTCGTGGCCGTCTTGGGTGCTTCGACTCGCGACTCACCAGGCATTCCACCTGCGACGCGGAACAACTCCAAGAGATCGTAGAACTGGCCGTGAATATCGCCACAAATTGTCACTGGGGTGCACACGGGCTGAATGTTTGACTCTGGAGTCGTGAGGTCAGTAAGATGCCCAATCAGCCCGAATGGCGCGGTCCTTACCCTCCATCAGAACCTCTTTCACCAGTTCGCAAAGCTCCTTCATCGCGCGCTCGGGTAGATAGTGGCACTGCTTGGCCTCCTCCAGCCACTCATCCAGGCCTGCATTGGGAGATAGTTGGGCAGGGCCCGGGCGGGGAATGTGGCTCGCCATCTTGTCGTTCAACGCTTGGGTATAAACTTGAGAATTTCTCTCGACTTCGTAGGGATCGAAATCTGCTGAGATGTTTGGGTTGAACTCCTCAGCTAACTCTAGCGAGTCTTCGTCTTCGTACTCGTCGGACTCGTAGTAATCAGGGTCGAATCCCTCGGGGAAGTCGCCGATGTCGAGACTGCCGCCGCGAAGCGATGGCTGGAATGAGTCGTCGTTGGTGGGGTCGTAAGGACGTCGAATAACGCGGCCGATCTGCGCAGTGCGAACCTGTGGCTCTTCGGAATATTCGAAGTCGTCCTCTTGGTTGGGCTCCTCTGCGATTGACTCGGGAACACGTCGGCCAGCGGTAGGACTGGGACGGACGTTGGGGGTGTCGTTGGAAGGAAGTGATATCGAGGATGAGCGTGGTCGGCGGCGTGGGAGAATGAGAGACGGAGGGTCTTCGGGCGTCGACAAGATCGGATTTGACCTCAGAGGGTGCGGTGGATCGGCGGGCAGGGCGGGGGGAGGGGCCTGGGTACCACGATTGGGTGCGACAACAACAGGCGGTGGGGTGGTAGCGCCAGGGGGTAGCTCAGGGAGAGGTCTAGGCTGCTGAACCGGACTTCTCGAAGAATTCGAATATGCTTCACGGGCGCGTCTGTCGCTTTCTTCACGACGCGCGACTCTCTGGAGATGCTCTTGGTATGGGTTATCGTAAGCCCCGACAACCACCGGACGTGGGCGACTGAAGTTGGGCGCACGCGGGCGTATCAGCTCTGCAGTGCGGTTGGCGGCGGTTAAAGTGGGGATATAGGCCGTTCCTCTGCCAGGGACCGGAATGCCTCGACCACGACTTGAACCTGACGCAGACGCAGATGACGGGACAGGACCGGCTGTAGATGCCTGAGGAACTGGCTGCTGCTGCTGATCGGGCGACTGATGCTGTTGACCGAGGTCAGGGTGTCTTGCGGGAAGGTTGAAGGATACCTCCGCTGAGCGATTGCGTGCACGGCCGGCTCCAGCTGGCCCGCGGCGAGGGACGTTGGTAAGCGGGTTTGCGAAGGCGAGATTCGCACGCTTGATAGCAGCCTCGATCTGGGCTTCACTTGGCGGCGAATAAGTCGAAGTTGTCGCGCTGTTGTCCTTCACAGAATTCTGAAGTCCGCGGCTTATGTTGTCCTCATTAAAATCCGGAAAAGCTTCCGGAAAGTAGTCGTCTTTGTGAGGCTCCTCGCCCTCGGTGACCTCGGTGGACTCGGATCCCTTGTCCATTGTCTGTGGCTGGCTTCCACCTGGGTGAATCTCGGATAAACTCTGTTGTGGGAAGAAAGTTTGTCCGAGAGAGAAGTGGCAGGTTAAGGTTTATCCGAAGATGACCCTGGGAAGTTCCTGCCAAAGGAAGCTATCCTAAAGAGGCTAGTGCACTCTTATCTGATAAGACCCACATCAGACGGAAAGTGCTCTGTGCTCCATTCTTTCAGATCCGTGATTGAAGTGAACCAAAGCGCCCCGCGCCGCTACCCTGGCGTCACACCTCTACCACAATCACAGGCCCAAGGCTGTGTCCCTTGTTGGTACCTAGGGCACAGAGCAATCATTCAGCAGTTTTGGCATAACAGTCCTTCAAAATAATTCACGTCTTCTACATCTCTACATCTGGCTCACTGAAACACCAATTCAGCCTCAAGACAAAGTCGCGCACTCTGTTTGGAGTCAGGCGCCGACAGTACAAGAAACACATCGACTCGAGTCGCAAACAACGTGTCCGCAACGATGGCCACATCAGGCTCCCAGGGCGCCTCGCGTAAGACGAACGGTGTCCTTTCAGTCTCTGGCCAGCAGACGGCCGCCGACACGCCAAAGTCGAATAAGAGTCGTGCTGCGGTCGAAGGCCACAAAGTGGTTATCAGGCGATTGCCTCCGGGCTTGACGGAGCAGGAACTATGGAACAAGCTTGGAGATGAGTGGAAGGCTGGACAGGGTCTTGTCAGCTGGCACAACTTCGAGGCCGGCAAGATCTCTCAAGAGTAGGTACTCGTCAGTTTACTGGCACTGCGAATCGGACTGACTGTGGTTCGCGCAGCGCTGCGAAGCCGTCGCGGCCGGCGAGAGTTTACCTCAACGTCTTGAAGCGCGAGGACCTGAACACCCTTTCCAACTTGATACAGGCCAGGTCCTGGGAGGACGCCAAAATGACGTCCAACAGCCCCTCTCTTGTCGGGCCTCCGGTTCTCGAGATGGCGTCTTACAATAAGATCCCAAGCGGCAAAAAGCGCACCGACCCCAGGCAGGGAACGATCGATCAGGACCCGGAGTTTATGGCCTTCCTTCAAGATTTGACCAACCCCGAGCAGAACAAGGAGACCGAGGGTAGCGAAAGCAAGGATGCGGCTGACGAGTCGAAGCCGGATGCCAAGGTCACGACGACACCTCTGATCGAGTTCCTCAAGGAGAAGAAGGCCAACAAGGCCAAAGAAGCAGCCGCAGCTAAGAGCGCGAAGCAAGCACGTCAAGAATCTCAGAACACCAAGGGCAAGGCATCGGCGTCTACGGAGGATTCGAAGAAGGGCAAGAAGGACTCTAAGACGGAGAAGTCTGCGGAGAAGCCCAAGGAGACGGTCAAGATTCTTACCAAAAAAGCGACGGCGGATGCCGTCAAAGCAGCAGAGGCCGTTGCCAGCCAGATCACTCAGAGCTCTTCGGCCGCTCAGGAGGCACCTAAGAGCCGACGGGCTGGTATTGCAGCTGCCGCACGCATTCTGCAGCGCGACCTTGGCATCAGTCCTGGCAGCGCTCATAGAAGGGCTCGTCTTGACGCTGCCAAGGCGGAGGCAGAAGCGAAGGCTGCGACTCCGAAGGAGCCCGCTCAGCCCGCGGCTGAGGTT